AGGACGGTCTCGATCTCCTGACCTCGTGATCCGCCCGTCTCGGCCTCCCAAAGTGCTGGGATTACAGGCTTGAGCCATCGCGCCCGGCCGCCAATCTGGTTTTGAACTCCCAACCTCAGTTGATCCTCCCACCTCGGCCTCCCAAAGGGCTGGGACTACAGGTGTGAGCCATCGCACCTGGCCCCTGAGCTGTAGTTTCAGAGAGGCTTTCACTTGAGGGTGGGAGGAGGAGATGCCCCTGTCCACAGAGCTCATCAGAAATGAGGAAGCAACACTGTAGAGATGAGAGCGGAAGACGTAAGGTCCTGGTTGATGAAACCTCAGCCTACGTAGGAAGTTCTGGGTACGGTCCCTCGTATTGAGAGATAGCCAGTGGCCCTGAGTCAGGCCTGAGGAGGGACAAAGATGGCGATCAGTACCTTCAGAAGCTGCGACAGGGTGTCCAGCACCTCGGGCGGCCCGACCTCCAACCCTTCCTCTCGGCCTGTAGCTCTCTTCTTGTAAGTGACGTTGCCTAGGTACAGGATGGCTGAGAGGACGGCAAAAATCCTGGGAAAGAAAAGACACTCACATTTGGGCAGTTTCTACATTCCCAAGACATCAGATACTTCCAGGGAACTGGGCTGAATCCATAAAACCAGCAAATTTTGTTCAGAACGCATGAAGTTGGAAAAATATCTAAGGCCTCTGTTGAAGACTGCCTCTGTGGAATGTGACTTTGCAGACAGTTACCTTCTTCCTGAGATTTGATCTGGCTCTGTCGCTCAGGCTGGAGTGCAGTGACACAATCATAGCTCACTGTAACCTCCAACTCCTGGGCTCAAGTGATTCTACTGCCTCAGCCTCCTGAGTAGCTGGTACTACAGGCCACCACATTTGGCTAATTTAAAAACATATTTTTAAAGGGATGGAGTCTTGCTATGTTGCCCAGGCTGGTCTCAAACTCCTGGTCTCAAGTGATCCTCTTGCCTTGGCCTCCTGAATACCTGGGATTATTGGCATGAGCCACTGCACCTGGCTAGACAGCTATTTTCTCTTTTTATGAAACAGGGTCTCACTCTTGTCACCCAGGCCGGAGTGCAGTGGCACAATCATGGCTCACTGCAGCCTCAACCTCCCTTGGCTCAGGTGAGCCTCCTACCTTAGCCTGTTGGGTAGCTGGGACTATAGGTTTGCACCACCATGCCTGGCTAGTGAAACTGTTTAAAAAAAAAAAAAAACGTGTACAGATCCCTCTAACTAGCCTCCAGACCAAGAAATAGAACATTCCAAGTCCTGGATCCTGGAGCCCCCCAACCCCAGAGGAACCACTGTCCTGACGTCTAATGCTGTCTGTGAACTTCATGGGATGTCTGGCCAGTCACTGGCTATGTTGTCCAGGCTGGAGTCCACTGGCTATTTAGAGGTGCTATCTTTTTTTTTTTTTTTTTTTTTTTTTGAGACAGAGTCTTGCTCTGTCGCCCAGGCTGGAGTGCATTGGCACAATCTTGGCTCACGGCTGCCTCTGCCTCCCGTGTTTAAGTGATTCTCGTGCCTCAGCCTCCTGAGTAGCTGGGATTACAGGCATGCACCATCATGCCTGGCAAATTTTTCATATTTTTAGTAGAGATGGAGTTCCGCCATGTTGCCCAGGCTGGCCTTGAACTCCTGAGCTCAGGCAATCCACCTGCCACGGCCTCCCAAAGTGTTGGGATTACAGGCGTGAGCCACTGTGCCCAGGCCAGAGGTGCCATCTTAGCTCATTGTAGCTGTGAACTCCTGGGCTCAAGTGATCCTCCTACCTCAGCCTCCCAAGTAGCTGGGACTACAGGTGTGTGCCACCATGCCTGGAAAATTAAAACAACAACAAAAAAAATAGATGGGGTCTTGCTATGTTACCCAGGTTGGTCCCAAACTCCTGGTCTCAAGCGATCTTCCTGCCTTGGCCTCCCAAATAGCTGGGATAACAGGCATGAGCCACCACGCCTGGTTTAAAAAAATTTAAATTGCTGGGAGCGGTGGCTTGTGCTTGTAATTCCAGCATGCTGGGAGGCTTACGCAGGTGGATGGCTTGAGCCCAGGAATTCAAAATTAGCCTGGGCAACATGAGGAAACGCTGTCTCTACAAAAAATCGTCCGGGTGTGGTGGCACGCGCCTGTAGTCCCAGCTACTTGGGAGGCTGAGGTGGGAGGATCACCTGAACCAGGGGAGGTCAAGGCTGCAGTGAGTCATGATCTCACCACTTCACTCTAGCTTAGGTGAAAGAGTGAGACCCCACCTAAAAAAAAATAATAATTAAATTGTAGTAACATAAGCATAATATGAAATTCACTACCTTAACTTCTTTGATTTTTAGAGACAGGGTCTTGCTCTGTTGCCCGGGTGAAATGAAGTGGTACAATCCTAGCTCACAGCCTTGAACTCCTGGCTTTAAGTGATCCTGTTGCCTTGGCCTTCCAAAGCACTGTGATTACATGTGTGAACAACCACACCCAGTATTCTTTAAACTATTTTTTTTTTTGAGACTGGGTCTCGCTTTGTCACCCAGAGTGGCGTGATTAGTTCGGTGGCGTGATCGTGGCTCACTGCAGCTTCTTCCTCCCTGGCCCAAGTGATCCTCCCTCCTCAGCGCCACAAGTAGCTGGGACCACACGTGTGTACTACCACGCCTGACTAATTTTATTTATTTTTTGTAGAGATGGGGTTTCACCATGTTGCCCAGGCTGGTCTTGAACTCCTGGGCCCATGTAATTCTCCACCTTGGCCTCCCAAAGTGCTGGGATTACAGGCGCGAGTGAGTCACCTGGCGCCTGGCCAAACCATTTTTAAGGGTACAGCTCGGCAGTGTTAAGTATGTTCACATTACCTTTAATTGGCATCGCCTAATGACCAATGGCTTGAGCCCCTTCTCATGTGCTCACTGCTATTGGGCCACACTTCCTATGGAGGCTCTGTTCAGGACACTGCCTGCCCGTTTTCACTGGGTTGCAGGTTAGACCTCAGAGTGACTGGTAAGGGACATGTGCGCCCCCTGTACGCTCTGAGGGACGGTCCCCGGGACCCACACACTTACTGCTTCTTGGTGGCGGGGAGGAAGCCCACCATCTCCATGGCCTGCTTGAGCCTCTCAAAGTCATGCTTCAGGTCCTCCCCATCTTCAATCTTCAAGTTATGCTGGAAAACAAAGGCGTCAGTACTTTGGGCATTCCTAGGCCGGCGAGGGTGGCGTGCCAGAGTGATTTTGGCCGGAGCTAGCGGGGCAGGGCCCCAGGACCAGGGGAATGAATGGGTTCTTTTAATGCTGCCTTCTGGGAGCGGGTTTGGGGGCCAGGGCAGGCTGCCTCTGACTTCCCGGCTGTGCATAAACAGCTTGAAGCCGGGAACAGAGGTGGCGTTTGTGACTGGGGCTTGAGGCTGTTTACCTGGTTGAGGTAGAAATAATCTTCAGGCTGCTTGAGCTGAAATTCTCGGCGCTCTTCCTCGCTGACCCCGAGTAACAAATAATAAAACACGTGGTAGTTCCTACAGGTCAAAATTGGGAGGAACACAGTTGTTTTTGGAGGCCAAGCAATAGCTACTCTGCAAACCACTACTAACATGGCTTTGGAGAGCACACCTCAAATATGTACAAATTTAAAACAGCAAGTCAGTTCTTATGTCTTCAAAAAACAAAAAGAAACAAATGAGCATCTTGAGCAAATAGATTTCCGGAGGACTGGAGGTGGGTGGGTGTACATCTCACTAACTTGTCAATCGGAAATATTTCTTTCTTTTTTTTTTTTTTGAGATAGGGTCTTGCTCTGTTGCTCAGACTGAAGTGCAATGGTGCGATCACAGCTCACTGTAGCCTCGACTGCCTGGGTTCAAGTGATCCTCCCAGGTCAGCCTCCTGAGTAGCTGGGACTACAGGTGTGTGTCACCATGCCCAGCTAATTTTTTTTTTTTTTTTTTTTGCAGAGATGGGATTTCGCCATGTTGACCAAGCTGGTCTCGAACTCCTGGGTTCATGTGATCCTCCCGCTTAGGCCTCCCAAAGTGTTGGGATTACAAGCATGAGCCACTGCTACAGGCGTTTTTTTTTTTTTCTTAAAGAGACAAGGACTGTAGCCGGGCGTGGTGGTGCACGTCTGTAATCCCAGCTACTTGG